TCTGTAAAGAAAGTACGTACATATGCCCATTTTTCAGTCGACGAGATCGACTGAAAATAATAATGTGTTGTGTTTGTGGTGAATGTCTTTCAGCTATTCACATTTACATAACTATGAAAAATACTCTTATTGAACGATGTCTTGAATTAGAAGTGGGCAAGTGATATAATTTGTGTCACGCACCTTTCTTCATTTTCCCATCAACCACCAGTCCTATCAGACTGACGATGTTCACGTGACCGCCATCATCGTTGACTTCTATCAGCAGACTCGCTTCCTTCGCGAAGTCTCGGTAGGTGATCTCATTGGCTCGGTCCACTCTACAGTTACAGTAAAAACATACCTTCTGAGGCAACCGATAGTGGCCTCGATTAAATGTCATAAATTCTATGGTACAATAGACATATCTGTTAGATATTCTGTCAGGACCGTGCCCAGAGTTCCAAGTGAAACGGAACGGCCATTCAAAACAAGCAAGATTTTCGAAGCACAAGTGTCCCAGTCACACTACGTCTGAAATGTCACAACATCTACATATCGAGTACCCGGGTCACACAGTTACACCTGACAAGGTGCGCATTTTGGATACGGAGCAGGATTTCGGATTTTGGATACGGAGAAGGGTTTACTTTGTGAGGGGCGTGAAGGAGGCAGTTTACATCAGGGCCCAGATCATCAACTCTCTCTGAACTACGACAGTGATAGATTCTGTTTTTTTTTCTCGCCATTTGATTCACTCCTGACGTCATCACGCTTCTAGTTTTCAGAAAGTCGGTGCAGTGGGTCGTACATCTAATGAAGGTCGACGAGATCGACTGAAAATTTGTGTTGAGTTCCTTTCGTTGTTTTGTTCCTATGCCTACAATCTACAACTATGGACTCTACCAACACAGATGAGCTTCCATTCGAACCTATAGTACACCGTACAATGCTGTACCAATGTGATGGAACTTCACAATGGCCAAAAGCAAACTTACCTGAGCGTCTTGGCAGCCACAATGACGGCTTGTTGGCCTTCTTCCCTCAGCACGCCCTTCCTCACGTGACCGAATTCTCCCTCTCCGATCAGCTCCTCAAGAAACAGGTTCCTTCTTTTCTTCAGCCATGGCTCCATCTTCTCAGACCCGATTATATCCTGATAATAAGCATGTGACAATATATGAGCTTAGTGAGATTTAAGCTGTTCTCCAATTTCAAGAAATGTACTCACCGGAATATCCGACCGAACCGCTCGATCTTCAAGTATAGTCTGTAGACACGTGATTTTTCCCACGTGTGCCGTCAGCACTGGGTCAAAGTTCGTCGGAAGTCGGTACCGCCCCCCGACATGGTTTAGAGAAGGTAGGTATGCCCTGATGTACGTAGATCTGTGAGTGTAGGAACCCATCAACATATACCAACCTTGTCTCAGCCGGGACGGGGGGTGGTACCGACTTCCAACGAACTTTGACCCAGTGCTAATGTGACATCTGGGGAAAATAACGTGCCTAGCTATAGGTATATACTGCACTTGGGTTGGATAGCTGAAGAAGACCGAGCGATTTGGGAAAAAATTCCGATGAGCGAATTTCTTTGAGTCGGAGAACAGTTTAATTCGCATTATGCTAATATATGCGCCAACTTATTTCATGCTAATATATGAGCTTAGATGTTGTAATCATCAGATGGATCGAGCTAGGAATTCGGACACATTTATAAAAACAAAGACAACAAACATTGATTGCTTTGTTACCTCAAGAACTTCCTTGAACAGTTGTGCAGGGTTTAACCTGTATTTCAGTCTCTTTACTATCCGCACCGTGCAGAAGGCAGCTGCAATCACAACGACCATGATAACACCTGTGGTCCACCCCACAAGCTTTGTATCGATGGGAACAGGCTCTGAAAATTGGAATGAATTGAGATATGACGGGACAGGAACACAAATCTGAGCACACAATTTTCAGAATTGCATATATCCATATAGGGACATTTCCCGTGCAGACACACTACTGAAATGTTGCAATAAACCATTTGCTGTAGGAGACGTCTCGCGTTTAAGAAAACTCTACAGCTACCACTGTTTACCTGTCGTGCAGATCACCTCTTTGGCCTTGCCCCTGTTGCCCTTGGCGACTGTCATGGCTGAAATTGTGTAAGTCGTTTCAGGCTGCAGGTTGAACAGATTCGCTTTGACACTTGCTGGGTTCCCCTCTGGGCGCGGCACGTCTACAAGAGGACTGAAACATTGGAATTCTTATGACCCTCGCCAAGAAACACGTTTTGGAGGCGTGAGCCTGTGTGTCTGTGAGTAGCATAAATTGTTAGTTCTTAGAAGGATCGTACTGATGGGACAAGGTGAAGGGTTAAGGTAGGTCCTGACAAGAACTGTTCCGGACATGCTATTGAGACGATTTTGGATTGGTAGATGTTGTTAAAACTACAGGACCGTTTTTGTTAAAATTTTTGAAAGATGATAACTCAAGAAGGGGTTGCCACCCTTGATGGTCGGGACCTATAGTATACTTCTAGACTAAGTAGATAATAATGTTTGAAGGAATATTTGCACGATTGAATGCTGCTCTGTACCTAGAATGATGTGTCGAGGTTGCTTGTATCTGGAACAGGTCTACAAATCCTTCCTTCGGTGGTATCAGTTTCAAGCTTACAGATGTCGAGCTCGTGTGGATTACCGAAACTTCCTCCACAGGCGAAGGGTCTGAAAAAAAAGCAGTTATTGGTTTTGCTGCGTTCAGACCTACGGCCGATGTATTCTAGCTCTATGTCGGTTTATATACTCTTTACAAAAACTTTGAAATTCATAAGATTTTGAAATAATGAAATTTGAGCAAACAAAAGGTGTTTTATATGGTAGACGTTGATTACTAACCGGTAGCAATTATGTCGGTGGTTATGAACGTGTATGTAAAATGATTTGGTTCGACTTTTGGATTTGCGTCTCCGGTTGCTTTCAGCTGAATCTGAAACACAGGAACGTTTGCTGTAGTTACGGGTAATCAGAAAATGACACAAAGTTCATGGGGGCAGGAGACCAAAGGGCACACAGATAGAATTTAAAGACAGAGAGATAAATAGATCACTAGATAGATAGCTGGTCTGGGCACAATTGCATTCAAACGGCTGATATTTTGTAACAGTTGGGGATCGTTGTTGTATTTTACCCTACATTGATTGTACTATACATGCTTTCCATCGACAGCTATCCTAGAACAATCTTTCGACATGTTGAAATAGTAAACGCTTGCATTGACTATTTGAAAACTAGGCAGGTAAAACCGAACCATAAAATGCGCTTTAGCGATTGTTTGGTGTCAAAAATAAAAAAAAGAAAGACCAAGCATCATTAACTCTGAAAATGACTTGAAGCGACATAATTCATACTGTTTAAAAATTCTGCTGAAAACAACAGGCACCACATTCTTATTTGATTTTGATTGATTTTTGATACACGCGGAACAGAGGCAGCTGTTGCGCGTGTTGTGTCCCGCACATAGAAACGAATACTGGACAGACAATACTCACTTTCACTTAAGTCTAGTGGGGAAAGTCGTGTCAAGTGCCTTTCCCAAGGGCACAAGATCGGTGGTTTTGTCAGGACTCGAACCCGGGACCTCTTGATTCCGCGTCGCGCACTCTGCCGTTGCGCCACACGACCCCACAACTGTTATTTGGTACTTACTTGATATTCCTTTCCGGGAATAAGGCCAGTCAATGTTCCCTCCACCTCAGTCTCGTTAAAGATGACCAGTGGGCCGTTGGTATTTGGTTCTAGTGGTGCAATATCCAGCTGAAGAGCAAAGAAACTTACACACTCACTAGGTCGTCCTCTATAGAATTGAGGTGTTCACAAACTCGTTTCTTTTCCTAGAAAGTAAAAGTATCGTAGAGTGGAACTCGTTGCAACCAAGTACAGTAGGGGCATCATCACTAGATGTTTAGAGTTAGATGTTCAAAGGCTAGGTGTAACAAGTCGTATAATATAGCCAGCTGCCGCCGCGCCGCGTACCTGTGAAGCTGGTGTGTTACGTATATACCGGTTATACAGGTACAGATATATGTATACGCATACCTGGTAATAGTAAAAAACCCTCTTTGTTTGATCCCGATTCTGTTCTGAGAAGGACGGCCAAGTCACCGTGATAGACGTGTTGGTGACTGTTTTCGAGTTAAAGGACAGGGGTCTTTCTGTGAAAAGAGAGTCAAGTATAGTACAATCATACATACACAAGTTTTTTTCGAAAGCTTAGATTGAATCCCAGACCCACTGTAACGTGTTGGCCATCATCATTAAAAAATAATTCTAACACGTTATCCTCTTCTTGCATTTGTAAAGAAACAAGCCAGATTTAATGCAGAATTGTTATATGTCGCTGTTTTGTATCTCTAAGACCATATGCTTTTATATGATTAGAAATCAATTTTAAATCAATGGAATGTGCTTCGGCAAAAATACCCACATATATATGCTAATATGAATAAATCCCACTAACCTGTAGTCTTCACTATTGGTATCGCGTTGTACTTTCCGCAGCTTACGTTGCGAAGTGTTGATACAATTGTGCAGTTGCTGTGAAGCACAATATACGACAGGAAAAAGAGCTAATTTTTAATATACATATACAGTGCATCACACCACAAAATTGTGAAGTCAAAAAGTACTTACATCCATTTGTTAAACATTTTATAACATTGAATGAATTCGAAAGAAAGTCACTCAAAATGAAATACCATTGTCGGCTAAATGACATAAATTACAGCTAAGTTGAAACTACCAATTCACTTCCGTTTACAATGACAGCATTTGTACTCTCTGTAACGATAATTAGGTTGAGGATTAAACACATTATAGAATACTTTATCTTGTTAGATCGCTACAATCAGAACATAAATATGCCTGAATTGTTCAACCATATTACATTGTCTATAACTGCTGTACAATATAACTGGAAAAACTCTAAATATCTACGCATGTTTTAGAAGAGGGAAGCGACATTGTAGACTGATATAGACGTAATATAGTTTACTCCTTCACGTATCCTATGCTTCAGCTATCTAATCTAGTGCATTTGGGCCTATGTAGAGCGTGAACATACACTAAAGCTCATCGTCATTGTCCGAGGACCAAGGACATGTATGATTTGGAACGTTCTTGAAGCATTGTGGTGAAATGAGCAATAGTGTTGGTTATCTTTTTTTTACAATCAGAACTCGTAATGAATTACATCTTCGTATTCATCTGTTTATGTTTTGTACCTTCTTTTTTTAAAGATTTTTTTAGTGCATTTGAAATAAGCAATGCATACATACATACATACAGAAAAGAACAATGAAATGATACAGAAAAGAAGAATGAAATAGTGTTGGTTCTCATTACCTGCAGTACAGATGACTGAGATTCAGACGTGTGAATGTGTGGTGCTGTAGGTAGTACACTGGGATTTCTTGTACCATCGGCGGTTGAATCACATTATCACTGTACAGCGATAACGTGTGTTGAAAGTAACGCGAAAGCAAAGATGTAATATTAGCGAATATGATGTTACTCTAAGACTTGCCTTGTTATGCTATCCCAGTCCCATGCTGATATGTCTGAAGAATATTGAAAACTACTCGAAAAGAACTTATTTGGTACAGAGCTTATTTTCAAATCGAATTATATACACTTGATTTTCTATAATGCGAAAGGCAAAAATAGTCTGAATACATTCTCTTGAAACATAATTTGATTTGTGGCGCCACACAAATCCGAGTAGGATCTAGATTTCCTCATGTTACCATTCACAAATTACATAGGTGCATATTAAGAGAACGAAAGATTGATTGTTGATTTCGAAAAATAATTATATTTAGGTATTGATGTCTTGAGGCCTCATTTCTACATGCATTACTGTACTTTACATTTGAGAATATTTGTCTTAGCACTTCATTTCTGCACACCTCCTGCATCCGATGACCCTTGTAAAAGACGTACTTACCAACTGTCGTTCTTAGTCTTGTACAGCTGAACCACGTATTTCACAAATGATTCATTCCTCGTTTCATTCAGCACGAAGCCTGTGGTATCCCAGTTGAAAGTAATGAAGTCGTGTGAAAATGCTGGTGGAAGCCAGTTTCCGGCTGATGTCGCTGAATCGTGGAAAGGCAATGCAAGTATAAGAACGTCTTGAACGGAAAGACGACACAATATATATCACATTGTTTTATGATGGACAAAATTACCTTACCAGAAAAGGTCATGTTTTCGGGGTCGTTCTTTTGAATGTGTTTTGTTGTGTTTGTTTGTGTCTGTGTGTTTGTGTGTGTCCGTCTGTAAACACGATAGCCCAAGAAGGCGATATATTTCATTTTTTTGTATGTACATGTAAGTTGGTATTGATGAGCCTCAAAATGATTAGATTTTAGCGCCCTCTGGTACCCTCTCAATAAAATATTTATAATTCATAAGTCGTAAGGGTTAGAAGACTAGCATCAGTTGGCGAAATTATATTTTTGTGTCCTTGTTATTGACAAAAGAAACTTGTGTCCCGCGCATGCAAATATTAACTACAAGAAATCCTTAACAACGTCCAAGAGAGGTCTTAAGTGAGTACTTACCAATTACGATTACGACGACTGCACCTCTCAAAGCTGCCATGTCTAAAAGTTTAACAGAATGCAAATGCCTTTGAATCACATTAACCGGGTATGTTTCCATTACCAAAAACAATGTTGAATATACAAGGTAACACAGCTGTAGAACGCTAAAGTGTAATATAAAATTAAATCGTACAGTGGGACTCAAATACGCATCATAATGTCTGGTGTATATGTGCTCTTGCAACATCGACAAAAGAAGTGCATCGAGAGAGGAAGACTAAACAAAGATTCCATACATGCACTTACCGTGAAGGGAGCCACCCCAATGTTCTAGGCACAACTTGACACTAGCTAGTTGCTACCGTGTTGGACATTTCGAAAAGCGTTATGCTGGCTGATTCTATTTCATTTTAGCGAAAGAAATGTGAGCGGCCGGCTGTCTTCCTAACTATCAAGATGTTTAAAAGTTGTTACGGCTAGTTCATTCGGTTCCCCATACCGCGCCGCTAGACTGATGCTGTATCGATGGAAAGCTGCCTGTTGGCAACCGATCACCATATTGGCTTAACCTTGTTAGGTCTTTATGTGTGTACGATTGTGTTTTGGGGGTCTAGAACAAGAAGGCAAAGGCAGTGATTGCGAAATCAGCGTCTAAACGTCTCTAATGTCACAAGAACTGATCACACCGACAAGCTATCGTATATGTGACATTTGTATTGTGTGAAGCACTGCTTATACTCTCCAAGCAGAGGTTGATGGTGGAAGATCGTTTGCTTTTTATATATGGCCTTTTTTGTCTCTACCACCACCAACTTGGGTGCGGAAATGGTTACAGATCGACTGGCCAATTTGATACTGTCTTACCCCACCAAAAGATCTGCTTGGAGATTACACTGCTTGCACAGTTCCTATGAAAGTCCCGGGTGACAAAAAGTCATAGTTAGACAAGTTTCTGTTGATGATGAGGCACGCTTGAATATTTCACACATCCGATCCTACTAAGGATATCGATGCGACAATGGTCTGCTTGCTGACAAATCTTGTCGTGACTTGACGAGAAGAAATTTCCAACTCTTGCATGAGGTTTGGAAGCACTTTGAAAGAAACGAGGAAAAGGAAAGGAAATATCTTGTTACAACTGGTGGCGTTGAACCCGGATGATGAATAGAATCGTTTTCCTTATCCATTCTCTCTTCAATAAGCCCACACAGATGCAGTCATTCGTGCATTGCCAAGCATTGCCTTCTTAACACAGCATGGTGAATTTGCTTTCCTTTTTCTACAAAAGAGCTCGGTATGAGCTCCAGATATGCGACATACTAGTCGTCTTCTTTGTCTCTCGGTCGTTAGACCTTTAGGCGTTGCAACAACTTAAGATGTTGTGTCAGGGGTTATCTCACTATAGGAATGTTCATAAACCGCCAGTAGACGATACGCATAACCTGGTTAAATGGATAAACAATCATAAAAGACGCAACAGTCCATAGCCGCCAGGGGCTAGTTATCTGATCTCTACATTTGTATGGATTGTGGCGACAACATACTCCAGGTGAACCTGATACTAGCTCACGCTGCTGGGAGTCATGGGACAATGCCAGAACGCCAAAACCCCGCGAGATGTAAGGTCCGTTCCATCCTATATATATCTAATAGATACGCAGAGCATGGTGCCCATCTCCATTTCCATAGCCCTTGGGCGACACACAGTTGTGCAAGGCACTACAGCAGGGGGCTAGCCCGCTCGTAGTGCTGTGTGTTTGACCTTCCCACACTTTTCTCATATGTGCTGAGTGCTAAGCAGAGAAAGAAGTGTGTATCATTTTTAAGTCTTTGGTATGACCCGGCCGGGGTTCTCACGACCTCCCGGTTACAAAGCGAGCACTCTACCAATTGAGTTATTGCACCGGTGTGTAACACCACAGAAATAGTGTTTGTGTTTTTTTTTCTCGCTGGTACGAAGTCGGGGAATTACCTGCTAGCCATATCATTGCCAAAACTGTTCATACTTAACCGTTACAAAAAAAGTGAAACTATTACGTCCTAGCGAATCAAGTTATAAGCTTCTCTGAGCGGCACCAAACGGGTTGAATCTGTCAATGTATCTTTCTTGTGAAGAAGTAAATTCAAACGACAGGTACGTTTATGGTATCTATTGAATATGAATTAGCACCTGTATAAGGTGCAATAACTTCCTTATTTACTACAAATAAGATACAAGTTCACTTAGCTCCTTGCCCTTGTTTAGTAACTTTTATCTGTGTTTAGAAAACAGACCTCCGCGCCAGGTGTGCATTCCACTGCCACACGATCGTTGCCTTTCTTTTAAACCAACCGAGCAGCTAGTTTCCTTGTCATGGACTTATCGTATGCCGTTACAAAATATGTCTCTTGAATATCAAATACTGGTAGATTGCAAAGTTGCTATTCACACAGGCACATACTGTACAATAACCTGCAAAAAAGTCTTACTGACAGGAAGCACAGGTCTGGAATAACCATCGATTTTGAGAACAGGTGTTCTGTACCCTCTGCCAGAAAAACTTTGTCCGTCAAAACAATTTAAAAAGGCACTGGCTTTCAGTCTTAGACGGTTGAGTGGTCGCCTTACCAAACATTCTACCAGTAGTGGAAAAGTTACTTCCCTTGTTGCTCCCAACAATTGCGAGGCAGTTTCACCGTCCCAGGACTAGTACTGTGCCCAACATATGTTAGGAAGGCTAAATTTGTTTTCATATATGTAGTTTTGATGCTACTAGGATTTCTTTGTAACATTGTACACTAGTGCAAAACTGTAACCCTGAAATCCCAAACACAAGAATCCAGCAGGATAAGAGTTAACAGGAATAATCTGTCGATAGCGAAGAATTCTTATGAACAGGCACAGGCTGTTATCGATAACCTATTCTCAATGGAATCGTACACTCGGTAGCATGCAGTACATTTTCTTAAAAATGCGAATTGAACCGGTCACACACATTTCCGCAACCCGCATCCATACGTGATAGTTCTTCCCACAGCCAACAGGACTAACATCTATCGGTAGGTAGCACCGCATGCGAAACAGTCCGTTTGTTGAGTTTTATGTATTCACTTCTCGTGAAGTGTACTGTTAAACAAGTCAGAAGTCTGTACACACTTGCTATGTTTCAATGGGAAGGGGAACCAACTTGAGCTAGTTTTTACCAGAAAAAAAGGGGAATATCTTATCAGAGGACTTCAGCAGGTCTATGTAAAGCTCGCACGTCCACAGGGCATCTGATCTGTAAGTCTCAGTTGGAAAAGTTCCTACCTGCCAGGAGCATGTCAATGAAGAGCAATCTTAGCCACCGCACGGCGGTCCTGTCTCGGTAAATAGCCACCGTCCACGACTGGTTCCCCTGGCCGCTTGCTAGGTACACGAAAAACCCCGCCCCCTTTGGAATAGGAGTGCCCTTAAAGACGTGGCAAACTGGCATTGGTCAAATCAAAGATTATGCCTTATAACAATAGGTTTCAATAGGGGTAAGAAACTGGGCGTGCCCCTTAGATTTTGGGTGCCTTGGCGGCTTGTTATGGTACTGCATGCAGCGGAACTTCCAGTTTTTTACATTTTCGTTTATATATTTTTGAAGGAGCGTATTGGTGAGAGAACGCACGTATAAGTAACCTGTCGTGGGTATACGTAGCTTGACACGACCCGTTTCCGTCTTCGCCGAAAAATTACAAAATATGATAGTTAAAAAGCTCCTTTCTACACATCTAGTTATCTTTTTTTTTCTTTTGTTACTAACACCCCAAATTAAAAACAGGATGTTTTTGCAGACGGCAAACAGCTAGTCACCTAGCACGGATCGGGCGCGCATCAAAGGAAGTGTTTATTTATCGTTTGATGTCCTCTTTAAAGTACATGCAAATGAACTTGTCAAATTTTACTTTATTTAATGGCCTATGAAGGAGGGCCTGCAAGGTTGCCTTTCAAAGGCTGACAGTACATATGTATATATGTCGGTGGATTGAAATTTGGCGCGTAGCTATGACGCAATACCGTCCTTTGACCCCGAACACAAGTACGTACAGAATGACGTCAGTGAGGTTAAGGTCACTTTAATTTGCATACGGTTTTAGTTCCGCATGGAGCAGCAGCATTAACGTCGCTTCACTTTAGCGTTTGATACACGCGAAAAAACACAAACAAGTCACCGTACTGTGTCGTACACGACACCAGCAAGAACATACAGGGTGGAGGTATGTGACCTTACCGTCAGGGAATAGCTATGTATAGCCAGTGTGTGTCTGTTGTGAATGAGCGGGGATCGACGAATCATTTTGAATAGACGACGTTGTTTTCTTAATGACAATACGTTTTTAGGGGGGTCGTGTGGCGTGACGGTAGTGTTCACTAAGAATCAAACGCAGGGGGTCTCGGGTTCGAACCCTGCCATGCTACTAGTCCTGTGCCCTTGGGAAAGGTACTTCACACGACATTCCCACATCACTCTGGTGAACATGCATTGTATTGTCCCCTGTGTTGGTGGTGGCACTAAATTAAGTTTTGAAAATACTAGCGAGTGTGTCGTCGCCATATCTTGTGATTAGATGTATAGTCCACCACATACATACCTTACAACACTCACGGGTTTGACGTATTTCCAAGATGCCCTAAATTAACCTAATCATTAAAATCAACTTAATTGCCTGGCACGTGCTTTTGAGCGGTGTCATATTTGCTAGCTTGTAGTGACCTAAGTACACGTGTTCTTTGCCCCGTTTTACCCTTCCAGCGAACACCGCATGATGCCGCTTCTTAAATAAAGCGGCATCACCTAAACCGGTGTGTTTACTTGCTCGTTGAATTTGTAGGGTGAAGCCATACGAACGATCACTCATCATATTCACATCATATACATGCAAATTATTTGAAGACATATACAAATTGCTGGTAGGCAAATCAAACAAACGTCACGCGATTATAAGGAAAAATTGTTGCTGAACCACTGCGACCCACAGGTAACTCCCGCACGGTTGTTCTGTAGAGCCCCTCCTCCCTCGGTCTTTGTTTACCGGTTCTACCTGAGGTGACTCTAAACCTCTTGCAGTGTTCTGTAACAAGTCACAATCATCCATTTAAGAATTTTTTTTTTTTTAAATCTGGATACAATTTAATACATTTCAGAAATTCAGATGTTTCAGATACCACCGTAAAATCAAATTCAACAGTAAAATGAATAGAAACTGTTTACATACCATATAGAATACGGAACATTGTTTAATATTTCCCGTATTCACACACACTTATGAAAGACACCGGGTTGTATCTGAAACATCAGTGAATCTCTAAAATGTATCTATTGTCATATTTCCCTTCCCTTGAAACGACCCCCACATTATTAATCGATTATGGTGTTAATCAATTGTACTCTGCTCTAAATATATTTGATGTGTTGACACTATGCTCTCTTATCTATTAAGCATGATGGCTCAGACGGCTGCCTTGCTGTGGCGACAAGTGAGACCGTTGCAGACCGGGAGACTAGCGGCGGCGGCTACAACTCCACTCCGCCTGCGGTCCGGACACCGGCGGGGGATGACGACAGCTGCGGAGACGACAAAAGATGAGGTGAGCTGGTTTAGTGTTTTATTCAGACCCTTTTAGCCTTTACCACTCTTCGGGAGGCGACTGGAAAAAGTAGAATTTGGCCAAATAGAGAGATAACATGCCAGACGAGTTGGTCCACCAGAGAGTACAGTTTTGGGTGCGGAATACTGCTCTGTTTTCAGCCACCTCCCGAAGCCCGGTAGAGGCTAATAAGGCCTTTTTCTCACTAGGATAAAATTATCCGGATTGAGCCGAATAGATTGGCTTCATATGGACTGCGGGCATAAACTACAGGTTTATGTTTATGGAAAGTCTACAAGCAAACTTAAGAAGTTGATTAGCTAAAACTGAATTGAAATAGAAAACAGAATTTGTTTGAAAATGATGATTCTGGATCATGATGTCATAGCTACCTAGGTTTGTCGGTGCGACATGACAAAGAATATGCATGGGCAGGTGCATACTTCCTCCGTCCTAACAACTTTTTTTTCATTCATTGTCATGAATAAGCCAGGAAAATTAACTGTGGCACCTTCATTTGTTTCATTATTACGTTGCCCCATATAGGAGAGGTTCCACTGGAAGGACCTACCCTGGCAGGCCATCTCTATAGGTGTAGGAATCGGAACCTTGTTGTACAAGACCCGCAAGAGCGAAGAGTTGGAGCTTCGCAGGAACAACCTGGCGTACGTCAACAGCCAACTCTCCCAGCTGTACGGTCCTCTGTACGGCAACAGGCTGGCCAATCACAGGAGCTACAAGGAGGCTCTCCAGGGTCACGACAACCTGGTGAAATTTCTCCGGGAAGCCGAGAGAAAATGGCGGGACCCGGAGACAACGGATGAAGGGGTACGGTTGTTGACGAGATGGCGCAAGTTTCTGTTTTACGTCATGCATCCGCTGGATCTGAAGGCTGAGGAAATCATACGTGACAACGCACATCTGTTTGAACACGGAGTTGAGGAGGCCGACCTCTTTCGGAAGTTCGTCTTCCACGTCAACTACGAGAAGATGATCGTGGCCAACTGGCAGGAGAAGGGGGAGGTCCTCGGGAGCAAGGAAGTCTTCGAGGAGAGGGATTTCTCCCGAGAAACCAACGCTGGGAAGTCTGACCTGGAGACTTTTGACATGTTTGGTCAAGTCGTTAAACATGTGAAGGAAACGTACGAAAAACTCGTGGAAAGAAAAAAGTCTCTGATGCGAGAAATAGAGGAAAGGGGCGGGCACTAAGTTGAAGATCACTGCATGAGAACTTGGTTTACAGGTGGCTTTAAAGTGGTGTGGGTTTGGTCCCCGTTGCAGCTTGTTCTGGAACTGCAGGGGACTTTCTGGTGAATTCTTTTAAAGCCTATAACGTTAAGTCCAGATAGGCACAACTTATTTTCATTTTTGGTATGTAAGTAGCTGAAAGAGAAATGTACATAATTAGATGCAAATTATGCAAATGACAACTTAATTTGCATAAGTAAGGAGAGATCTAGAATTCTATAAGGTCTCGGACCGGAGTTTCTTTACGTATTCGTAGCAATTTGACACCCTCAGACCGACGGGCTGTCATTTCTTCGGCATAAAGGCAGATCGGAAGGGCACCTACCTTTCAACTCTTCCGGTTGAAAAGGGTGCTGTGCCGCTTATCACTAGACTTGATTGATATTTTGTGCGCACAATTTATTTAGGGGTGGATAAGGCTTAGAAAAGTACATTTTTAAATAAGGGGTCATTTTTTCGTCATTTTTAACCATGGCTGCATGGAAAAAATGAATTTTTCCTGGGTAACGGCTTAGTACTCGAAGAAGCTCAGTACAATGTTTCCGAAATTTGAATTTAATTAAAATCGATGCGATACGTTTACCGCTATCTTCGATGGCCCAAACACACCCACAACGCATATAGAACGCACCATCCCGGGGATCAGATGAAAAAGCCATATAACCATCCGCGCGGACTAATACCTGGAAGTCTTCGCTGGACCACCAACATTACAACACCTATAAAGGCTACAACTAACAGGCTTTTCAGAAAATGTGTACACAGATATTACGATATCATGGATATCGCGGCCAAAACATTCGAAACATAGTCACATTTCCGATAATTTACTGCGCACTTACTTAGAGTCAGATTTAAACTCCGACCCGGAACCATAATTACAGTGTTTTATATATATAGTACAGGAGCGGTTATCTATTTACATGTTACCTATTTAATCTATGGCAGGTGAAACATCAACAGATACCAATTAGGCAAATTATGGCCTAATTTGCATAATTGTAGATGTCGTTTGCATAATTGACAAATTAAAATGAAATATCGTGTTAACATCCTTTTAATGTTAGCTTTTTATGATAAATTAGGCCATGTTGACTTGATTATATGGATGACATCCTCCGGGAGCCCCAAAACTGATGCGCGCGTGCGAATAAAAAAAAGTTTTGCAAAAAAAAAAGTTGTTTTCATTATGAAATCTACGTGGTCATGAGGGTTGAGCAAATGGCACAGAATATGGTTTGGTGAATAATCTAGTTTTCAAGTTCATTTCTTTACAATTTCGTCTTTTTTCGTTTGATTTTGGCATTCTACGACATTGGTATAGTTTTTATTAATTTTTTTTGTAACTTATGGTATATTTTTGCTCATTTTGCAACTGTTTTGTACGATTTACAGTATGGTTGAAAACTTTTTTTTTTTGGAAACGGCCGAAAATTCATGCGCGCGCGGATGTCATCCATATAATCAAATCAACATGGCCTTATTGATTTTTTTAAATTTCGCTCAGAAAGACGATTATTTTCGGGTTTCCGAGCACAGGTCATGTCATGTTTAAGGCAAACAACGTTCAAACCTGGCTACGTATATTAACCCGGATCCCCGATTTTTATATTTTTCGACGGCTATAAATAAGATCAAAAATCGTGTTTAAGGAATTTTTTAGTTTCTGATTTTAAGTCTAGTTTTTGTCGACATATTGGTGAAAAAATGCATTTTTTTCCCCATTCTTCTCACTAAATTACCCATAATTCAAAATTAGGGCCATTTTTTAAAAATCCCTGGAACACGATTTTCAAGCGACCGTTACGATCATTTTGAGCCGTAAATGGAGTATAAAATGTGGGAACCTTTTTTTATCTGGAAATGACCGCAGGAACGCGGGTTTGATTCTAATTCCCCAGATCGAACACGATCAAACACAGTTCGGATTCTATGAAATGTGGGGAAGAGCAGGGTGGTCTACGAGTGGGGTGTGGGGAAGAGCAGGGTGGTCTACGAGTGGGGTGTGGGGAAGAGCAGGGTGGTCTACCAGTGGGGTGTGTGGAAGAGCAGGGTGGTCTACCAGTGGGGTGTGGGGAAGAGCAGGGTGGTCTACGAGTGGGGTGTGGGGAAGAGCAGGGTGGTCTACGAGTGGTGTGTGGGGAAGAGCAGGGTGTTTCGTTCATTGTCATTGAATAAGCCTGGTTAATTAACCATGGCACCTTAATTTGTTTAATAAATACGTTACCCCAATAACAGGAGCGGTTCCACTGGAAGGACCTACCCTGGCAGGCCATCTCTATAGGTGTAGGAATCGGAACCTTGTTGTACAAGACCCGCAAGAGCGAAGAGTTGGAGCTTCGCAGGAACAACCTGGCGTACGTCAACAGCCAACTTTCCCAGCTGTACGGTCCTCTGTACGGCAACAGGCTGGCCAATCACAGGAGCTACAAGGAGGCTCTCCAGGGTCACGACAACCTGGTGAAATTTCTCCGGGAAGCCGAGAGAAAATGGCGGGACCCGGAGACAACGGATGAAGGGGTACGCTTGTTGACGAGATGGCGCAAGTTTCTGTTTTACGTCATGCATCCGCTGGATCTGAAGGCTGAGGAAATCATACGTGACAACGCACATCTGTTTGAACACGGAGTTGAGGAGGCCGACCTCTTTCGGAAGTTCGTCTTCCACGTCAACTACGAGAAGATGATCGTGGCCAACTGGCAGGAGAAGGGGGAGGTCCTCGGCAGCAAGGAAGTCTTCGAGGAAAGGGATTTCTCCCGAGAAACCAACGCTGGGAAGTCTGACCTGGAGACTTTTGACATGTTTGGTCAAGTCGTTGAACATGTGAAGGAAACGTACGAAAAACTCGTGGAAAGGAAAAAGTCCCTGATGCGAGAAATAGAGGAAAGGGGCGGGCACTAAGTTGAGGATCACTGCATGAGAACTTGGTTTACAGAAGGCTTTAAAGTGGTGCGGGTTTGGTCCCCGTTGCAGCTTGTTCTGGAACTGCAGGGGACTTTCTGGTGAATTCTTTTAAAGCCTAAAACGTTAAGTCCAGATAGGCACAACTTATTTTCATTTTTGGTATGTAAGTAGCTGAAAGAGAAATGTACATAATTAGATGCAAATTATGCAAATGACAACTTAATTTGCATGAGTAAGGAGAGATCTAGAATTCTATAAGGTTTCTTTACGTATTCGTAGCAATTTGACACCCTCAGACCGACGGGCTGTCATTTCTTCGGCATAAAGGCAGGTCGGAAGGGCACCTACCTTTCAACTCTTCCGGTTGAAAAGGGTGCTGTGCCGCTTATCACTAGACTTGATTGATATTTTGTGCGCACAATTTATTTAGGGGTGAATAAGGCTTAGAAAAGTACATTTTTAAGTAAGGGGTCATTTTTTCGTCATTTTTAACCATGGCTGCATGGAAAAAATGAATTTTCCCTGGGTAACGGCTTAGTACTCGAAGAAGCTCAGTACAATGTTTCCGAAATTTGAATTTAATTAAAATCGATGCGATACGTTTACCGCTATCTTCGATGGCCCGAACACACCCACGACGCATATAGAACGCACCATCCCGGGGATCAGATGAAAAAGCCATATAACCATCCGCGCGGACTAATACCTGGAAGTTTTCGCTGGACCACCAACATTACGCCACCTATAAAGGCTACAACTAACAGGCTTTTCAGAAAATGTGTACACAGATATTACGATATCAGGGATATCGCGGCCAAAACATACGAAACAAAGTCACGTTTCCGGAGATTTACTGCGCACTTACTTAGAGTCAGATTTAAACTCCGACCCGGAACCATAATAACAGTGTTTTATATATAGTACTTTTATACATGTTACCTATTTAATCTATGGCAGGTGAAACATCAACAGATACCAATTATGCAAATTATGGCCTAATTTGCATAATTGTAGATGTCGTTTGCATAATTGACAAATTAAAATGAAATTATCATGTTAACATCCTTTTAATGTTAGCTTTTTATGATAAATTATTGATTTTTTAAAATTTCGCTCAGAAAGACGATTATTATTTTCGGGTTTCCGAGCACAGGTCATGTCATGTTTTTAGGCAAACATCGTTCAAACCTGGCTACGCATATTAACCCGGATCCCCGATTTTTATATTTTTCGACGACTATTAATAAGATCAAAAATCGTGTTTTAGGAATTTTTTAATTTCTGATTTTAAGTCTAGTTTTTGTCAACATATTGGTGAAAAATGCATTTTTTCCATTTTTCTCACAAATTTACCCATAATTCACAATTAGGGCCATTTTAAAAAAAATCATTGAAACACGATTTTCGGGACAACCGTTACGATCATTTTGAGCCGTAAATGGAGTATGAAATGTGGGAACTTTTTTATCTGGAAATGACCGCAGGTGACCCCGAAATGGAACGCAGGTTCGATTCGAATTCCCCAGATGGAACACGATCAAACACAGTTCGGATTCTATGAAATTTTGGGAAGAGCAGGGTGGTCTACGAGTGGG